GGGTGCTCGCCGGCTCTACATAACAGTTGGGAGAGAAGAGGCCGTGGAACACCTAACGACGGATGGGTTTGAGAATATTGTGATGATTATTCCGGAAAAAGGTATGATGTGCACCAAGGTCATAGTTTTTAAGTATCCAACTTATTTGGATCCTGATTATCTTCTTCTCAACAATGATAGTGTTGTTTGGGCAAAGAGGAACAGTGTTCGTGGTGAAAAACAAAGCCAGGTTGTTGCCTTGGTAAAGGGTGAGGCTCCAGAAAGAATTTTTGTGCAAGGACTAGGCTACAGGAAAGTGGCAAAATACAATGAGGAGCCTGTATTATGCATGAAGTGTTCTCGTTGGGAACATATGGCTTGGAAATGCCAGTTTGACCCCAGGTGTCGGTACTGTGGTAAGACGATTCTCGAGAGTGTAGAGTCAAGATTATAAACGGTGAAAAAATCGTCCCATCTTGTTGCAATTGTCGAGGCAGCCACAATGCTGGTTCCTATCTATGCCGCATGAAGCCTCATCTGAGAGAACCTAGGATGGGTCCTACAAGTAGGATAGATGTATCCTCGAAGGAAGGAAAGATTGTGCAGCAGGATCATAGAGGAAACAGCTGGAAGCCAATGACGCCCCTATGAACAATGTGTGGGAGAAAGGAACGGAGACAATTAAATAAATAATAAATAAATAAATAAATGTTTATTTAGATAAGGTACATACATACAAGAGATTTTACAAAGTTTGTTGGATTAATAGATAGAGCTAGTACAGCTAAAGCCACTATTACGCAAAGCGTTTCGGGCAGGAAAAACATTAATGACTAAAGCTTAATACTAATGGGTATAAAGAATAAAATGTGTTGAGAACAAATAAAAATAGAGGTAAAAGAGGGGGGAACATGGCTGAAAAAGCAGCACAAATACAATTACAAATTATTACAGACAATTACATTCAAACAGCGTTGTTTTGAAAAAAAAAAAACAGACATGGGTTGACAACAGAGGGGTAAGGTAGGTTACAGGGAATTTATTAGGTAGTGCTTCGTTTTTATCTTAAACTGGTTGAGAGAGGTACAGTCTTTAATATGGTTGGGAAGGTCATTCCACATTCTGGGTCCCTTGATTTGAAGAGCATTTCTAGTTTGATTAAGTCGTACTCTAGGAATATCAAAACTGTATTTATTTCTGGTGTGATGCTCATGGGTTCTGTTACAACCTTCAATGAATCTTTTGAGACGAGCCTTGGGAAAGTAGGTAATGCAGCTGAAAAAATTCAACCGTGTGGAGACAAGGTGCAGGACAATATAGTGAACTCTGAGGTTGGTACTCAAATATTGGAATATCTAAAAAAAAAGAAACTATACAAGAGGATTGAGGCATTAGAAAAATTAGCTATGGAAGATAGACGGGGTGAAGATGGTGGTGAAACAGGACGTGAAATGGAAAGTGAAGTGAAACAGGACTTGAAATGGAAAGTGAAACAGGACGTGAAATGGAAAGTGAAACGTGCGTAGAAGAAAGTAAGGAAGAACATGACGTATTGATGATAGAGGATAGTCAGGAAAATGAACTTTCAAGTAGTGTTAGCGGTGTTCAACCTTCTGTAGTGACAAATGTTGAAACAAAGGTTAAAGTAAAACGGTATATAAAATTAAAAAAAAATAGATATGAATAATATTACCGTTGATGTTAGTAGCTATTGTTCAAGTGAGGAGAAAGCAAAAATGTTACAGTTTTGGGATAGTGTCTAAGAAACTCTCGTATCTTACATAGAATGTGACGGACAGGGCAAAGGTAGTTTTAATATTAATCATGGATGAAAGTAGAGTGAGGATATAATCTTGGAACGGTAATGGGTTAAAAACTAGTTTTTTTTACTAATACATGAGGTATATCTGCATTTGTGCAGCTACCCTAGACTATATGAAGTGGAGTACAGTGTGTCAAAAAAGCTAACTACGTGATGCTAAAAAAATCCTCATCACACAGGATGGTTAGTCATACAGAGGCATGTGATGGGTAGTCTGCACTGGCAGACTCCGGATGCATTTTGAGGATATCATCAACACAAGAGTGAATAAGGCAGCAGTGGTAATAAAAGTCCCCATCTCGCAGGATGGTTAGTCATACAGGGCCATATGTTTAGTAACCTGCACTGGCAAATTTTGGGTGCAATATGAGGATATCCTCAAGAATACGAGAGTGAATAAAGTAATTGCAAAGCTCCAGGTACCTCATGCCAACTGGTCTGAAAGGTCTAATAACTGGGCATTCGGTGATGTAGTGTGGGAGATCATGCCACAGTTCCTGCTCACAGAGTTTGCACCTGGAGTGCTCAGGATTGGGAGACCCGTCACCTGTAGCCACCTGCCACAGGTAACGGTAACCCAACCTGATCCTTGCAACCACTGTGTCGCACAGTCTGGTGGACGTTTTGTGCTGCCCATAGATATAGGTTTCAGATCTGAACAAATCATAACTTTTAATACTAGTACTTTCAGGTCGTTGGGAGTCAGTAATTTCTTTCCTATCAGACCTGAGTGTTTGGACCAATACAGTTTTGACAGTAGAGATGGGGATACCTAGATCTAATTCAACTTCATCTTTGTTGCACGCTAATTTGGCTGCAATGTCTGTCTCATAATGATGGGTTATATTTACGTATGATGGTATCCATATAAAAGAGATTCGAGACCCTTTACTCAATGCAGCAATTAGATCATTTATAATTGGTAGTATGAGGTTCTTGCTGTCGATCTTCCAGGAGAAGTTTTCGATTGCTCGAAGAGCAGACTTTGAATCACAAAATATTATTCCTCCTCCAATGTTTTGGTAGCTAGTTGTAATGCTGCTAGTTCTGCTTGTGTGGAGGTCAGCCAGTTGTTTAACCTGACACTGACAGTCTTTGTGCAAATGTTATTTCTATAAACTAGTGCGGTGGATGTACACTATTATACTCTTAGAGAGTACTATATTAACCTGAAATGTTAAATGGGATTCTTGTATTGTGATTCGTGTCTTTGTACTCACTGAATATGTGCGCCCCTTGAGGGACTTGAAATATGGGAGGGGGGGGGGGTTACCTACCTTGAAGTTACCTTGAGGTGCTTCTGGGGCTTAGCGTCCCCGCGGCCCGGTCGTCGACCAGGCCTCCTGGTTGCCGGACTGATCAACCAGGCTGTTGGACGCAGCTGCTCGCAGCCTGACGTATGAGTCACAGCCTGGTTGATCAGGTATCCTTTGGAGGGGGGGGGGGGGGTAAAAATGGCCTACGCTACTCTTTGAGATGTATTTTTTTTTTTACTTGTCTTAATAAACATACTTGTACTTGAAAGAACATTATGTATTAATATCAACTTATTGATAACTATATCAATATGGAAATAAGTAGTGCGCCACATCAAATTGTTTGGATGTGTGATAATGGTATGATAGATAGTATGCCTAGGAGATACAAAAATTTTGCCTCAATGAGTGTAACACTTATATGGTGTGCTTACTATATTAACCTGCAATGTTAAATGGGATTCTTGTATTGTGATTTGTGTATCTGTACTCACTGAATTTGTGCGCCCCTTGAGGGACTTGACATAGAGGGGGGGAGGGGGGATAGAACTAGCCTAAGCTACTCTATCCCTTTGAGATGTATTTTTTTCTTGTCTCAATAAACATACTTGAACTTGAACTTGACAGGACGGATCTCATTGAAACTTTTTAAAATAATGAACAATTTGGAGGATATTCAACCAGACCTCTTCTTCAAAACGTCAGATGTAACACAACCAAAGAAAAACGGTTTCAAGCGTAACAAGCCGCAATGTAGTACAGAAAACAGGACATGCTTTTTCACCCACTGGGTTATAAACCCATGGAACTACCTACCCGCCGATAATCATCAGAACACGTTGGGTGACCTTTGACAAGCCACCGGCTTCCTGTCCAAGAACACAAGAGCAAAGGTAACTGCAGAAGGTCTATATTGGCCCATACGAGGCAGCTCTTAGTATGGAAGCCTCGTCGAGGCCATACGAGAGTCAGTGATGGCCCTCAGGTAAATTCAGGCAAATGTTTCCATGTACAGAAATGTTAAATGCGGTTCATAAATAACATATTGCAATATCTGAAGTCAGTTATTGAGGTTACTATATATCTTAGTAACTATTTCATCATCATGGTTGTGTCAGGGACCAATGTACAATACTACAAACGAAATTTTCTGAACTTTTGCTAGAATTTGTTGTCGTTATAGAAGCTTATTTTCGGAGCCTAGGCGTGAATGTGAATGCCATACCAGGTGTAGTCTTGTGCGCACATTCATTCATTAATATGATTCTAATTTAGTTATGATTCCAAACGTATTGAAGAAACATTTAATTCGTTAATAACGCTCTCTATAACATCGCTGTGTGTGTGTAACCTGCTCTATTTTCATTCCTCCATCATATAGACCTACATCTAAACTTGATCCATAATAATTCCGAAATTGTTACACGGTTATTTACAAAACATTGTAAAATAAGGCAATTACAATTGAAAATAAAGAGTAAAAGGGGATTAGGGCATTCAAACAGCCCACGCTGCTTGGTCCAGGCTCAGCTGTCGAGTCCCATCTGACACCTCGTCCTGTTATACTTTACGTTTATTATCATTTTAATAAAAAAAAATTAGATATGCTACTTCCTCGTAGTGTATATTGTGCTTTATTATAAGTTCTTATTTTTTATTTATTAGATTTATCAAAATATATATGCAAAACTTAACTATAACTAATGATGCTTCAGCAAAATTGTTCAGGTATGCATCTACCATGACTACCGTACTGGATATAGGTTCATCAACAAACTTAAATTTAGTTTGTTATTGCATTATACAATGCAATCAAAGTTCTCATTATTATGCCTTTTTGAAATTCTATGTATTATAAGAATACTTAAAAGTTAATGATTAAAATATGTGTATGAAGTAAACTGTCTGTCGATAATATTAACCCAGAGTACGGTACAGTTGTTTGTTTACGTACCACAGAACGGAAGGTGGATGGGTGCATCTTGAGCCTCTTGGGTTTCGTCTCAAAGCGTAAGATTGACAAGACCAGGTTACTCGATTCTCTTTCCTTAGGGAGGTCAGAAGAGGGTAGTGTAAGATGGTAACAGCAAGTAACAGGAATAGCGGTGAGACGAAAGAGGACAAGAAGTCTTCAGGACCGAGTCCTAGCAATGGCCACGTCTCTGGCCACTGCGACGACGCCGAGAAGGATGGTGGTAAGTGTCCACAATGCGTATTCACTCTACAAATACCATAATTCTGTTAAAACCTCGATTCTGTAGAACATATGTGATATACAGGGTGTTGCTAATTCTCAAGCTATTTGGTTATGGGTGCATAAATGAGGTGGATGCTGGATTCCTGATATGGTTGTCTTTTGAGTTACAAGTGACCATTTCGAAAAATATTTTTATCCTCTCACAGCCCAGCATGAAGTCAGGTTTCTCTGGTTGCTGCCTGATCAATGAGGCTGTTATTGATGATCCACAGGCTCACATAGGTTAGGTCTAGCCATCTCTGCCCAGAAGCATCCAAAAACTGCCCTGGAATTCTGTAACAGAATTCCAGGGCACAGTATACCTTGGAATAATATATATATCCTTGCTAGATGTATGTATGTGTTTATGTTTGTATGTACTCACCTAGTTGTACTCGTCTAGTTGTGCTTGCCGGGGTTGAGCTTTGGCTCTTTGGTCCCGCCTCTCAACTGTTAATGAACTGTGTATGGATTCCTGAGCCTATTGGGCTCTTATCATATCTACATTTTAAATTGTGTATGGAGTCTGCTTCCATACAACTAGTAGTTGTTTAGGTAAGGTTTAGATAGGTTAGGTAGGGTTGGTTAGGTTCGGTCATATATCTACGTTAGTTTTAACTCAAATTTAAACAAATTAACTTATACATAATGAAATGGGCAGATTTATCATTAATATGAAGAAATTAGAAAAATATATAAATTCAGGAAAACTTGGCTTATTAGGCAAATTGGGCCTTGCATAGTAGGCCGAGTATGATGTTCTGGCTACTAGGTACAATATATATATATATATATATATATATATATATATATATATATATATATATATATATATATATATATATATATATATATATATATATATATATAAAATAATGTCGTACCTAGTAGCCAGAACGTCGTTCTCGGTCAGCTATGCAAGGCCTGATTTGCCTAATACGCCAAGTTTTCCTGAATTAATATATTTTCTCTAATTTTTTTCTTATGAAATGATAAAGTTACCCATTTCATTATGTATGAGGTCAATTTTCTTTTTATTGGAGTTAAAATTAACGTAGATATATGACCGAACCTAACCAACCCTACCTAACCTAACCTATCTTTATAGGTTAGATTAGGTTAGGTAGCCGAAGAAGTTAGGTTAGGTCGTCGAAAAACAATTAATTCATGAAAACTTGGCTTATTAGGCAAATCGGGCCTTGCATAGTAGGCTGAGAAGTGCATTCTGGCTACTAGGTACGACATACACACATATATACATTATATATAAATATATGTCATACCTAGTAGCCAGAACACACTTCTCAGACTACTATGCAAGGCCCGATTTGCCAAATAAGCCAAGTTTTCCTAAATTAATATATTTTTTCTAATTTTTTTCTTGTGAAATGATAAAGCTACCCATTTCATTATGTATGAGATCAATTTTTTTTTATTGGAGTTAAAATTAACGCAGATATATGACCGAACCTAACCAACCCTACCTAACCTAACTTAACCTATCTTTATAGGTTAGGTTCGGTTAGGTAGCCGAAAAAGTTAGGTTAGGTTAGGTTAGGTAGTCGAAAAAACATTAATTCATGAAAACTTGGCTTATTAAGCAAATCGGGCCTTGCATAGTAGGCTGAAAAGTGCGTTCTGGCTACTAGGTACGACATATATATATATATATATATATATATATATATATATATATATATATATATATATATATATATATATATATATATATATATATATACATATATATATACAGGCATACCTCGGTTTAAGAGTTTAATCCGTTCCTGGAGACAGCTCGTATTCCGAAAACTCCTAAACCAAAGCTAATTTCCCCATTGGAAATAATGGGAAATGAATTAATCCGTTCCTGACTACCCCAAAAACCTCACTTCAAACTAAATTTTATACCTAATTCATCTAAATAAACCTACAAAATTATGTTCAAGTTATTACTTACCCTTGTTGATGAATGCTGTAGGCGTATGGAAGATTGTGAGGAGGGGGAGGAGGAGAGGTGTTACTGTTTGGAAGGGGAGTCCCCTTCCATTATAACATCAGGCAGTGAGGACCTCTCTGGGGTGCATTCTCTGGCATGTTTTGCCTGCATACCACTAGGTCCTGGTTGTGGCTCACTGCTTGATTTTCTCACAACAAAGATGTCTCTGTAGTGAGGCATCACATTGTCATTGAAAAAATTAATGCAATGTCCTACTACAGCTTTCTCTGGGTGAGTCTTTTCAATAAAAGTTTGCATTTCTTCCCACATCTGACACCACTTCTTAATGGTTGCAGAAGGGACATTCTGTACTGCCTCATCCTCCTCCACTGCCTCATCCTCCTCCACTGGAGAAACATCCTCAGCTGGGTCTTCTTGCTGTTCCTTTTGAAGGGCTTGGAGTTCTTTGGTGGTCAGTTCTTCTTTGTGTTTTTCCACCAACTCCTCCACATCATTACCATCCAATTCCAAGCCCATTTGCCAGCCCAGAGTAACAATTTCCTCAACAATAGGCACATCACTTACAGGCTTAAACCCCTCAAAGTCGAGTTCTGTCACACATTCAGGCCACAATTTTCTCCAGCCAGAGATCAGGGTTCTTTGAGTCACTTCTTGCCAGGCTTTGTCAATGAGTTTTAAAGCACTACAAATGTTAAAATGGTGTTTCCAGAACTCTTTGAGGGTGAGTTTTGTGGCTTCAGTAACTTCAAAACATTTCCGGAAAAGTGCCCTTTCATAAAGTTTCTTAAAATTCGCTATGATTTTCTGGTTCATAGGCTGAATTAGAGGAGTGGTGTTAGGAGGAAGGAACTTTACTGTGAGAAAATTACTGTATCTGTGCAACAGTTCATCTTCCAAGCCTGGAGGATGAGCAGGAGCATTGTCGAGGAGAAGCAGGGCCTTGAGTGGCAAATGTTTCTCCTGCAGATATTTTTCTATGGCAGGGCACACCACTTCATTCACCACTCCGAGAAAAAAATCCTAGTCACCCCATGCCCTTTTATTAGCCTTCCACATCACACATATTTGAGTTTTCTGCACTTTATACTGTTTGAAAACCCTTGGATTTTCAGAATGATACACAAGCAAGGGTTTAATTTTCAAATCACCACTCTCATTTGAACACAGCACAAGCATAAACCTATCTTTCATAGGCTTGTGTCGAGGCAATGATTTTTCCTCCTTGGTACTATATGTCCTCTTAGGCAATCTTTTCCAGAACAGTCTTGTTTCATCACAATTAAAAACTTGTTGCGGTAGCCTCTGCAAACTCTTTAAATTCTTCAATAAGTCATTCAGCCGCTGGTTTGTCTGAGTTGGCTGCTTCCCCCATGCCTCGCAACACTATGGATAGCACTTCTTTTTCTAAATTTTTCAAACCATCCCTTGCTTGCCTTAAAAGTCTTATCATATCTGCACTTGTTCCAGGGGTTTTCTTTACAAGGACTTCATGCAATACCCTGGCTTTCTCACAAATGATGGCCTCTGAAACACTATCACCCACTAACTCCTTGTTGTGTATCCAAATTAATAACAACTTTTCCACTTCCTCAAGTATTTGTGATCTTTTGTTTCGTGATTGTTCTTACGCCTTTTGCCACTATAGCACTCATAATGTCCTTTTTCTTGCTAAGTATGGTGCATATCGTTGATGTGGCTTTGTTGTACTGCCTACAAAGTTCAAAACACATGCGTACGATTTTCATGCTTCCGAATGATCTCTTGTTTTTCCTCTATTGTCATCCTCACATGCGCTTTCTTGCCTTGATCCTTACCACTGGCTTTCTTGGGACCCATGGTGAAATATATAATAACAACTTTTATGGTCAAATGGCCAAAAATCAAACAAAACACTGAAAATTCTGGTGAAGAATTCAGGCGGGATAGTCACTGGGCGCGAGGCACTGATAAACTGAGGGGCGATCACCGTACCACTACGCGCTAGGTCGGCCTGTACGCGTATCAACACCCTCGCCTTCCGTGGCAACCCTCGTATTCCAATCCAAATTTTCCGAGCAAATCCTGCTCGCATTCCGAAGAACTCGTTTACAGTGACACTTGTATTCCGAGGTACCACTGTACTGTACTTTATTCCAACTGTTTCTATTTAGATATCTTACATGGTTAATGTTATTTGAATATATTCAGAGAAATCGTTATTTATATACACATCATAATTACTTATTTTTTATTTTCAGATACTGGGATGCGAGTTGGGAAAGCCTTCCAAGCAGAAATCCCATCTATACTACCTCCCCATGGTGAGTTTTCTGAAATATATTGACTCCATCTAGACATTTTGCTCGATCTCATTCAACAAAATAGTGTACAGTAATATAATTATCCTACACATACATGATTACTTGTAATTAAAACCAGTCTGTAAGGTATCAGTATTGACGTATCGCCTAATGTTGAGTGTCGTGTAAAAATTAAGTATTTAATATAATGAAATGGCTTTTCTGGTAGGCCCTGGTGATTCCATGAGCTTAGCTGTTACCAGCATGCCTTAGCTCAACACACTAGGGAAATTAGACATCCCTAGCCTCTATGCTGCTATGGGCTTAATGGCCTTCAATACTGCTGTGCTCAAGAAATAAAAAATTCGAATTTTTTGTTTTGTTTTATAAAAGTGTTTGTTTGTGTTCCCTGACCACAGGAAAAAATAACAAAAAGTCATAGGTAACACATTTTGGCCGCAATAGGCCGAGGAAGTCTGGCAAAATGTAGGCGTTGACAGAGCAAGCGTCGGAGGCGGTCAGCTCCACCAGAGATGTCAGACGGGAGTTGCCACAAATATATTACTATCTAATTATTTCAATGTCTCTGACTGATTTTTTCTTAGTTTTTTTGCAGTAATATTATTCAATAGTGTGTAGTGTGATATATAATAAAATGTGTGAATGATCGCTATACTCAAAAGTACAGTATGGTGTGCATATTAGTGATTCAATTATTATGTTCATAAAATAATAAGCAAATAGTTGTACTGTTGTTATGCTATATATACAGGTTATATATAAGTCTCTGCATGTTTTGTTCATCATAATGAACCGCTAAGTTGGTATGGCAAGTCAAAACAATAAGGAGTGGTCACTTTTCTCGGATTTTTTTATATCCAGCCTCAGAACTGGGATGGGGATCGCCGGTGCGAGGGGTCTGGGGCTCCCCCTTCCCCCTCCCGGGTAGGGGGGGAGCTGCGCAAACAAAATAATAACGAGTGGTCACCACATACTAGTCAACAAATGCCACCCCCTTCCCTCCCTCACCACCTCATTTGCCAACATTCCTCCCACCATATTGTTGTTGCTTTTATTCACTATATACTGACATTATATATAAGTATTTATATGTTTTGTTCATAACTGTACAACTAAGCTGGTATGATGAGTTCAGACAATAACTGAGGTCACCACACAGTCAGCTGATGCTCCCTTCCTCTCTCCCAGACACACTAACATTCCTTCTCCAACCATACTGTTTGTGGTGTTATTACACTATATACACACATTATATATAAGTATCTACATATTTTATTCACTATAATTGTACAACTAAGTTGGAATGGTGCCCAAAGAGCATAGTGGCCACCTTACACAGCCTGTCAAGTCTTGCAGACCTTGCCACCTCCCTCACCAAAATGGCTCCTCTCAACGTACTCTTTTTGCTGTTATTACACTAATACACACATTATATATAAGTATCTACATATGTGTTCACCATAGCGAACCACTAAGTAGGTATGGTAAGTCTAGACAATAAAAGGTGGCCACACAGAGTCGGCAGACCATGCTACCTAGCTACCTCCCTCACCAAGATTACTCCTTCCAACATACTATGCACAGTGCTAATTATCACCACAATCCTGCTAATATCAGAATCCTGGTCATTTTTATCAGTCGGGGTCTTCTGTAATACTATTATCACTAAATAATAGCAGTTGCATATATATATTTTGACATGTTTAGGCGATGCTGTGGTCACAAGCTGAACAGCAGTGCTACCTTGAGGTTACCTTGAGGTGCTTCCGGGGCTTAGCATCCCCGCGGCCCAGTCATCGACCAGGCCTCCTGGTTGCTGGACTGATCAACCAGGTTGTTGGACGCGGCTGCTCGCAGCCTGACGTATGAGTCACAGCCTGGTTGATCAGGTATTCTTTGGAGTTGTTTGTCAAGTTCTCTCTTGAACATTGTGAGGGGTCGTCCAGTTATGCCCCTTATGTGTAGTGGAAGCATGTTGAACAGTCTCGGGCCTCTGATGTTGATAGAGTTCTCTCTCAGAGTACCTGTTGCACCTCTGCTTTTCAACGGGGGTATTCTGTACATCCTGCCATGTCTTCTGGTCTCATGTGATGTTATTTCTGTGTGCAGGTTTGGGGCCAGCCCCTCAATTATTTTCCACGTATAGATTATTATGTATCTCTCCCACCTGCGCTCAAGGGAATACAGATTTAGGCTCTTTAGTCGGTCCCAGTAGTTTAGATGTTTTACCGAGTGGATTCTAGCAGTAAAGGATCTCTGCACGCTCTCCAGGTCAGCAATTTCTCCAGCTTTTTCTTTCAATTTCTCCAGCACTCCAGCCAGGAGGAGCCAGACCAGCTCCTCCAGAACTCCAGAGTTCTAGGGAGCCGGTCGGCCGAGCGGACAGTATGCTGGACTTGTGATCCTGGGTTCGATCCCAGGCGCCGGCGAGAAACAATGGGCAGAGTTTCTTTCACCCTATGCCCCTGTTACCTAGCAGTAAAATAGGTACCTGGGTGTTAGTCAGCTGTCACGGGCTGCTTCCTGTGGGTGGAGGCCTAGTCGAGGACCGGGCCGCGGAGACACTAAAAAGCCCCGAAATCATCTCAAGATAACCTCAAGATAAGCTTTGAAAGGGGCTGTCATTGTGCAGCATTACTCCACTCTAGAGAGCACAAGCGTTTTGAAAAGTATCATCATCGGTACAGCATCTCTAGTGTGAAAAGTTCTTGTTATCCAACCTGTCATTTTTCTTGCAGTTGTGACAGCTACTTTATTGTGTTCTTTAAAGGTAAGGTCTTCTGCCGTGCTGTTAGCTTATGCTGTCTGCGCCAGCCTTGGTGGCTCACTCAGTACTGAGGCTCTCACACCCAAGAATGTTGCCCACAATTTTTTTCTGGGGGGAGCCCCTACGGCTCCCTGGAGCTTTCCAGGCTGATAAGGATAGTCCTAACTTTTGGCATCAGTTGATGTGGGTGGAGTTCTAGGGCAACCGGCGACCACGAGCCAGAACCTGGCCCCCTCGGAGAGGCACGAGTAGCAATGGCCCATAGAATGCATATATGATTTTGGAGCATTCTATATCTGCCATTGACCGGGACAGGCACCCAGAAAGGAAGGCGCCAAAAAACAAACCCCTATTCTGGTTAAAAACGACGAAAATAGACAAACGAGTGGACAGAACTCCCCAATTGAAAACAAGCAAACAATCATGCTGTGACATGAGCCGTGCCGCAAGTATGCGCAGATTCCCCCCTCCCCGGGAGGAGGAAGGGGAAGCCCCAGACCCCCACGCCAGCGGGCCACCCTGCAGTTCCTCGGCTGATGGGATACGGCTTGGTCGTTGTGGCTCCAGCTCCAGATTCTTGTTGCACAGCACTGAACCCAGTGCTGTGCCTGAGTGTGCGAGCTGGGAGTAATCTTCACAGGTACTCGGGCTGCATGTGCTTAGGGTCATCTTTCCTGAGTGCCCTGTAAGTACCGCCTTAGAGGCTTGGGGTTACCTTCCACAAGTCACCTTGGGTCTACCTCTGTTGGTCTTATGCTGCATGGCGATTGACCATCCTGAGTGTTTTGGGGGGTTTCCTCCCTAGTTTGCTTTGGGGTAGGTGGTAGTTTTTGCACTGGTAGGGCTGTGGGATACTGCTTTGCTAGTTTGCACCTATAACAGCGGCCGGCTCTGTTCCCTCCGTGTGCACTGTCCTCTTGTATAGTTTTTTTTTTGTTTTTGCTTGGTGGAGGGGGGGGGGGGTTCTCCCTTGGTGTTCCTTACCCCTTTATATTAGGGTTGTTTGTGTTTGGTGGTTCCCCCTGCTTCGTCCTCGTGAGTGGACACGTCCCGGGAGTGCAGCATTACCAGTGTTGATTGGTAGCTTGGGCGCCGGTTAGCAGTACACCTTGCCTGAGTTCACCCTTAGCAGACCCAGTCTAGGGGCTCTGGGAAACCCCACGGGGCACTCGGGTTCGATGGATGTGACTCGATGATTTGGTTTGGTTCCATGTTCCTGTGGGTCCTTCAATTCCCTCCTTCCGGAGGTTTTCGGCTTCCCGCGTCTCTCCGGTTGAGGTGCGGGCGGCTATTGCAGCTTACCTCCTGCGCGACCCGGAGTATGCCACTATAATTGATCCGTCTTCCTTCAGGTTTGCGTCTTCGTCTCCATACTGTACTGGGTTTGTTACGAGATTCCAGAGTCATCCTGGCTTGCGGGCTGCCCTCTGTTTTTGATGTATGCTTGGGACACCTTCTGTCGTACCTGCACGCTTGAGGGGCGTGAGACGTTGACTGTGGTTCAGGTTTCTCTGGGGGTGATTTTGCACACCTTCATGAGTGCCTTTTCGCTCCGGCTTTTCTGCGGGGATATTGGCGCAGTTCAGCTTCATGTGCAGGTTCTTTCCCTGTCGGCTGTGCTTGTGGCTGAGGACTTGTGCGCTCGAGACTCGTTGGCTTCGGTCCTGCATTTCTTACCCCTCCTTGAGCTGTCTTCCGACTGGCTTACGGAGGATGTAAAGGCGCTTGGGGCCGTTCCTGGTCTCCGTCATGAGGCAAATACGGTGTTTGCAGCCATAACGGAAACTTACACAAAGGACTATCATGATGGTGAAACATGGATCTCAGAGTACAATCTTTTCAGATGTGACAGGAAACACAGACTACAGAGTGGGGTCAGCCTGTACATCAAGGATACACTCATCTGCACTTAGCTGCTAAACACCACAAACTTTATGGTGGAAGTACAGTACTGATAATCAAATTAGAGATCCTAAATGTAGTTATTGTCCTTGTACAGTATATAAGTCACCGGAGGCAAACCCTTAGCAGTTTAACGACCAACTAATGAAAATAGAACACTGCTTGGAAAACCTCACACATTCAGCCCCAAACATCATCCTGCTTGGGTACTTCAACCTACAGCACCTGAAATGGAAGCACCTGGCTAATACAGTAATATCAGAAAGAATACCAGGAAGTAGCCTAAATGAACAGGCACCAAATGACCTGCTACGGATGTGTGACAGGTTTG